AAAATAACCCCTAAAAGTGTTTTATTATTGTCCATATCTCTATTGCAGATTATCCTCTCTTCCTGTCTGGCGGAACCGTTGTCACTGCAACAGGAAATGATGGAAAATCTCTCTGAATGGAGCCTCGGAGAACGTTAAAAACCCAACAAAGCTTCTCTTCCCTCTCGACCCACCCAAAACTAATACGAAAAACTTTTTGCTGGACATATACTCATTTTCCAGAGTGAAGTTGGGAAACAAAAAAACTCCATTATAACCATTATAGTGCAAAACATTTTTGCTACTTACGTGCAAAGAATTGATTGGTCTTCGCGATCTGAAAGACAAGAAGGGAAGGCGCCACAGATGAATCCGGCGGGTCACAAATACACATAAAGACATTTCATTTTCAGCACAATGAAAAATATTTCACGTACAGTCTAACACAGCACGATTTACGATGTGCCGACATATACCACAGCACTGTACAAGCCTGATGTAAAACTACAAAGGGCCCATTGACACTTGCACAATAATATTCATCACGCTGCCGCTACTGTCACGGTGACGTGCGAGAGACATTTTAACACGCCGGACCTAATTGATCGATATTTCTGGGAAATTAATGTATTACTCTCCCCTTCGTTATAAGCTGTTCATATTAGTCTGCGCTTTACAGGGCAAAGATACCGATACATCAGGCCCTCCCATAAGAGCTCACAATCTAATGCACCATCAACCGTACTCGTACAATCAACACATTGGTCCTGATCTTGACTCAATAGGACCCGGATGCTGCCTGCAAGGCAAGGATATTTTTTTGTACATGGATCCTTACTGAACGTAGGGGAGATCAGTAAAATCTCTCTTTTGATTTAAATATTAAAGAGGAACTTTACCCAGATCTTCCCAATGACAACAAACGCACCTTTAGAAATGTTTAGTGATGACAATCTACAAACAGATGCTTCTAGATAATTGCCGGCTTTGTATTCTTTGCACCGTATTTTACTTTTCCTTCCCATTCTTCTGGGGGCTGCCATTTTTACTAAGGGCAGGTGACTTACTAGATCTCTCTTTACTTCCTGGATTTCTGGCACACGTGACCTTGCACATCATCTCAGGGGAGGAAAATGCCTTTCCCTGAGATCTCGTGAGATTACAGATGAGATTTCCCAGCAATGCTCTGCTGATGTAACCTTCCCAGGATGCAACTTGGGCACAATTACATAATTTGTGCCAAAGAGAACCAGAAAGTAGAAAAAAAAAAAAAAGAGACAAGCAATAAAAACCTGTCAGGGGTTCTAATCCCTCTCCACTATATCTATCCAGAATAAAAAAACGTTTTGGCTTCAGTTGCACATTAAAGTCACATGTCCACCTAAAACCAGAGGGTGACAATGCTCCTGTAGGACTTCACTGCAGAATGAACAGCGTTGTCACCCTGTTAAAGAACGTGGAGTAATATTAGAGCTACGTATAATAAAAGCTTTTTAAAGGGCACTTGGAAAAACAAAATATGCTGTGTAGATGGTTTCAGATTGCATCATATACGTCATATTTCAGGAGACACAAGTGGGCTTGCTTGATAAAACCAATATAGTAACGCTCTGACTTGAGTTTGGCTAATTCTGATTGGCTGCATGCACATAATTGGTGAAGAAAGCCCGCTGAGCGGAGGACAATGGTGAGCTGTATCCGGCACCATCCGATCCGGCACTCTTGGCTGCACTGGTCTGCTATACATATACAGGCACGTTGGCCGCACCGAGTCAGAAAAGCGCAGCGCCCGGGAAGGGGGGCCTTGCTTGAAGGTGTTACAAAAATGTGCGAGTTCTCTCTTCAAAGAGACGGCGGCCAGACGGTTCTTGCACCTCATTAAAACCATCGGGGGGGGGGCCTGACACACACCAAGAGGGTCTGCTCGGCCAGAAAGTGGAAGATGTGCGGCTGATGAGACATCAGACATTCTTATGGGGCTTTAAGAAGCAGACAGAGGGAGGAGGGCTTCACACGTGACTAACTGACCCCAACCTCACCGCCTCCACCATAAAACAAACTTCCGAGGTGACCCCGGCCTAGCCTTAAAACCGGCATGGTTCGTGGTGACCCCAGCCTAGCCTGAAAACCGGCATGGTTCGTGGTGACCCGGGCCTAGCCTGAAAACCGGCATGGTTCGTGGTGACCCCGGCCTAGCCTGAAAACCGGCATGGTTCGTGGTGACCCCGGCCTAGCCTGAAAACCGGCATGGTTCCTAGTCAAGCAGAAAGGTGCCTACAGATGCTAGATGTTACCCGACCATTCATGTTCCTATGCAGCAGGGAAGGGAGAGCTTATAGGCCATGGCTTGTCTCAGAGGAAGAGGGAGATCAGCCAGGGATGCCCAAACAATTTGGGCCAAAGGGCACTGCAGAGGGGTCACAGACGTTTGGGCAAATGTTCTTACTGTAGGAACCTTATGTTGGCCATACATCTTTAAATCGGCTTTAGATCCAGCACTAGCTGTGCAGTACAAAAGTCATCCTGACTGGACACAAATGGAATGTTTAGGTACGGCTTCTACTATACAGTTCTGGCAGATGGAAGATTGTGTAGAGATTGTCACGCTTTACAACCAAAGGTGCCATTACCTGGCTCCAGGGTGTTTGGACCAGGACCCTTAGCATTACATTGTCAGACAAGCCCAGCCATCTGTTAAAATTTTAGTTAATGCCAAAGCATGCCAGACACACGTGTCCACTATATTCAATCTTACCTCAATGCAGTCCAAATGAAGGTTTGTGGGGTTTTTGACTTCAATGTATTATGAGGAGGGGCGCCATTGGACACGAGGGAGAGTGAGCCGAGGCGGAGTTATGGAAATTAGGAGGGGTAAGAGAGATGAGGAAGGGTCATGGAGAGAAGTTTTGGAGATGATAATGATTAGGGGTTTATGGAGATGAGGAAGGGAGAGGGAGAGGAGGAAGGGAGAGGGAGATGAGGAGGGGTTATAGGAGGGTGAAGGGAGATGAGGAGGGGTTATGAAGATGAGATGAGGAAAGGAGAGGGTGCCGAGGAGGGGTTATAGAGGGTAAAGGGAGATGAGGAGGGGTTATGAATATGAGATGAAGAAGGGAGAGGGAGCTGAGGAGGGGTTATAGAAGGTGCAGGGAGAGGGAGGAGGGGTTATAGAGGGTGCAGGGAGAGGAGGAGGGGTTATAGAGGGTGCAGGGAGAGGAGGAGGGGTTATAGAGGGTGCAGGGAGATGAGGAGGGGTTATAGAGGGCGCAGGGAGATGAGGAGGGGTTATAGAGGGTGCAGGGAGATGGAAGGGGGTTATGAAGATAGGAGATCAGGCAGAAGACATGGGGAAATGTGCATGTATTCCAATTCTTTTTCAATTTTACCTTGACAGATGCTTTTAAACACAAACTACTTTCTCTGAGAAAATTGAGGTTTTCTAAAACAAACCTGAAACTGCGTTGGGTAACATTGAAATCGGTGGATACGGGCTCAGGAAATGAGTGTATGCTATACGCTTGTCAACCTAAAAACGCGCATGATGGACACCGCATTCCTACGATGCAAAGTAGCTGAAAAACTCCAGGTCTGCCGGACGATTCTTCAATGTTATTTGTATTGCTAAACAAATAAAAAGTTAAAAAATTGATCTGAAATTGCATTGTTTTCTCCGAGCGCCATTTTCTATCTGCTGGTAGCCTACGGCAGCCTGAACAATATCCGTCTGTATACAGAGTTACCCCGGGCCGAGCCTATAAACCGTCTGCCGTGTCATTGTATCTGTGGAGTTAATGACACAATTAGTATGATAAATGGCCGACTTCCAGGCCTGACTCCTATGTGAGCCGGGGATCCGCGCCTATTAATAGACACCTGAAATTGTACACTGCGCCTCTTTATCCCGCCATCAATCTTCATCGCTGGGATGATGTCACGGCTACTGTGTGATTCCGCCTGGGAAGAGAGAGAGCCGAGCTCCCAGACGCTTTTATTATAAGCAAACCGCCAAGGATAACACACAGCCGCTCATTTATCTCGCTGAAATTCCGGAGATTTACGATCCCTCATTAGAAAAAAAAAAAAAAGGTCCTTCGGGGCTGCCAATGGGTACGTAACCCCTTCGCGGCCGGGAAATTACCCAGAAGGTGCCGAGGAATGTTTCTGGGGTGACGGCGCTTTGTGCGATGATCTGCGCGGTTTTCCCTTATTTGGTACGCGAGTCTCGGGAATCGGGATTTAAAATCTCTCGATTCCAGGAAAATTCACTAATGTGGCCTTATAGTACATCATGTATAGCCAACATGATTTTTATTGGAAGTGAGAGAACCCTCCCCCCCCCCGGATTTTATTGCTGCCAGTGTGCCCGCTGAGGAGATTCACCCTATTGGTCCTGGTGATCATTATCACCGAGAGCGATGGAAAATTCTACCTTTCATGCACTTGAGGATTTAGAACACAAGAGACATGTTCTACAAGCATCTCGTACGTAACCCTTTGTTATTGCTAATCAGCACTGCTCACTTCCTGTAGTTATTTTTCTGATTTATTTTTTACCTTTCATTTTTTTTGTTTTTTTTTTGTTTCATACTTTTGTTTTCAGTCAAAATTGGAAAAAAAAACTTTTTAAATTTGCAAATAACTACTTTTCAAAACAAAAACACTAGTCAAAACAGAACCAACATATTTTGCTTTGTCCTCCAGAAGGACAAAGCCACCTTTCATCCAGCATCATCCTGGGTCACCATCTACTTCCTGGACTGAGATGTTGGCTCAGAGGTGAAACAATCATATACATCCTAGTGCCTGTGCAGTTCTTGGCTGTGTTCACAAATGTCTGACACATTAGTCCCTTGCTGCAGCCACTAACCTTGTGACTTGATACAAAGTTGCAGACTGATCACTGGGGGAGGAGAGACTGAAGAAATGCTTCCTCCCGCCTGCGGCAGACTGATCACTGGGGGAGGAGAGACTGAGGAAATTCTTCCTCCCGCCTGCAGCAGACTGATCACTAGGGGAGGAGAGACTGAAGAAATGCTTCCTCCCGCCTGCGGCAGACTGATCACTGGGGGAGGAGAGACTGAGGAAATACTTCCTCCCACCTGCGGCAGACTGATCACGGGGGGAGGGGAGACTGAGGAAATGCTTCCTCCCGCATGCAGCAGACTAATCAGTGGGGGAGGGGAGACTCAGGAAATACTTCCTCCCGCCTGCGGCAGACTGATCACTGGGGGAGGGGAGACTGAGGAAATGCTTCCTCCTGCCTGCAGCAGTCTGATCACTGGGGGAGGGGAGACTGAGGAAATGCTTACTCCTGCCCTTGCAGACTGAACACTGGGG